TTCTGCCGAATTGTTTGGATTGTAACATTGATGATTTTCTTTTTGTGGATTCCAAATTTTATTTGATGTCACACTGGATATTTTCTTTTAGTGTGATCTCCAGAAGTTGTTGGGATGTGCACACTAAGATTTTTTTTTTAGTGTCTCCAAAGTGTTTGGTGTACACTAGATTTTTTTAGTAAATCTCCAAATTTTATTTGATGTCACACCTGGAATTTTCTTTTAGTGGATCTCCAAAAGTTGTTTGGATGTCACACTAATCTTCTTTCTCAATTGCACTTTTGAATGTGTCCATAGATGTTTTGATGTTTTTTGAATTTTTTAATATTTACTTTGGGGATCTCGGCACGCGATGCGATGTCATGACTTTTTCGTTTATTGGGGGGTGGAAGTTAGTGTTAGAGGGGAGGGGTGGCGGGCCGCGAGTCTTTACAGACATTATAAGATTCATCAGGTTCAATCATTCTGCAACTTTTGCTTGAGTCCTAGATTTCCGGTCCTTCTGTCCTGTTGCTTTTGTACTGCGGACTTGTGTGAAGGGTTGTTGATTTGTCTTTGTCTGCTGTTCTAGGAATTTATATTCCTCTGCCCTCTGCTTCTGCCGTTTGGCGGCTGATGAAGGGGTAGATGCCGGTGACCAACATTTGGGTTTCGTATATAGGGTCGATGGCGAATCATCTGTCAGAGCTTTGTGCCATAACATGCTCTGATGACATATCCTCTTGTTCGGCATAGGCTTTTTTAATAATTTTGGGATGATTTTCTCTCGTCATTTGCTTGTGCTTTGGCTGGCAATTGTTGAAGAAAAATTCCTTCGATCTCGCTTTCTGCATTTACGGGTTGTTGGGTTTGCCAGGTTTTGATTGATTGATGTATCCGCATAGGTAGTATTTCTCCCTTAACACTGAGAAACCTCCTAAATCTAGAATCACTGAGTTCATCAGATCGTAGAAGCTAGGAATTTGAACAGCTTTGTCCTTATAATAGCTCTTTGTATTTACATCTTGTAATGTACTCCATAAGATGTACATCAAGCTAAGGCCTTCTCTCAAGGAAGGGCCTCATTTGTAATCGACTGCAATACTAGTGGATTCATTCAAACTGGGCTAGGCCCCGTGGTTTTTCCCCCTTTTTACAGGGGTTTTCCACGTAAAAATCTTGGTGTCTCATAAATGCTAGACCCTCTCTCCTTATCTGCTTGCGTGCCAGATCTTCGTACAATGCTAAGACGTTAAATATAATATTTCTCTACTGCCGCGAATACTCCTGGACGCAACAATTATAATTATAAATTGTCAATGATTAACTATAATTAATCAAACAAATATAATTGATAATTAAATAATAATTAAATATAATTAATACTAATTATAATGAATCCTTCTCTCTGTTTCGACGGATTTACTGGATTTGGCGGAAGACGCTCGCGGAAGGGAGAAATTACCTTCACAGTGAGCAAGCTCCTGTTGTTGCTTCCGATTTAATAGGAAGGGAAGTTGTCTGAGGAGCGAAGTCGACCAGCAAAGGGGCCGGAGAAGCACGCGAGAGGGAAAAAGTTACTTGGTAGCCAGCGAACTCGACTTGTTGCTTCCGATCAAACTTAACTTCCGATCCGGCAGGAATGGAAAGTCGTCTTAAGGGCGAAGTTGAAGCAGCACACGACAGGGAGAAAGTACCGCGAGCTCCCGTTCTTGCTTCCAATCGAAAGAGTCGTAACTTCCGATCTGTGTTTGTTATTGGATATAAATTATTTTAGTACCTTCCAAGTGTTGAGGACAAATTTTTGGGAAAGTTTATTTATTTATTCATTTTATACCGATGTAGAAGATTTAGATCTTTGATGATTTCTGACATTGTTCTTTCTCATCTTTGGTATTTTGTAATATGATTTTGTGGGCGTGATTGAGATTTTGTCATCTTTGTTTCTGATTTTGTTTTTTCTGCAGTGCAAGTTTTGAACAGTTTTGTGGTTTTTATTCATTATATAAGATTTCTTGCGAAGTTCAGGTTTGGCTTTGTTGAGAATATAGGCGGCGGTAGAGTTTGTAAATTCGCGTCCGAGCGTTGTACGAGTATTCAGCACACAAACAGAAAAGAGAATACGAACACCATAATTTTTACGTGGAAAACCCAAAAAGGGAAAAAAACATGGGGCCACGCCCAGCTGAAAAGTTCCACTAGTGTTTTTATAAATTACAAGAAACTGATTCATCTCACAAATCGGGACGATCAGATTACAACTTGAAGCAAATTTACAAAATTTTGCAGAATCCTGTCGTTTCCCAAAAATCCGGCAGAGTTCCGGTGTATTTAGGCGATGGGAAGAGCTCTGGCGGTAGTCGAGAAGGAGAGGATTCTCCTTTTCCCTTTTCTCCTCTTCTTCTCTTCTTCTCTTCACTTGAGTCTCCTTTGTGTAGAATGAGGGCACTATTTATAGTTTTTCTGGAGTGGCATGACTTGTAAATAGGTGTGAGATCAAGGGCGAATAGAGAGTGGTTTGAATGGACGGCCGATATTGAACCCTTCGATCGTGCACCGTTCATTGGACATTTGGAGGCCTTAATGATGTCGGAATTCGGCGATCTTGGGCTCGTTGGATTCGTCTCGTCGAGCCGCTCGATTCGAGTTTAAGCTCGTTAAAATCGGAGACCGTTTGGTAACTCAAATTGCGGTTTGAACCCTCCAACAGCGCTTCAGGTCCTTGATTTGGACTCATTTGGGCTCGGATTGGGTCGAATTTGGTGTCGTTGGGTTCGTATTTCCGAGATGCTTAGATTGACTATAGGCTCGCTGAAATCGGAGTTTGAATGCTCTTGATTTTAATTTTTGAAGTTTCCGGTTAGATTTTGCCTCGAGATTCGTGCTTGATCAAGATACTTTTTTGAGGATACATCAGGCTTATTTAAATTAATCATTTGGTGACAGTTTTTATTGCTGATTTTGAATCTTAAGTGATGAAATTTTTGCCTGATTAGATTTGAGCCATAAATTTTATTCTTTGGTGCTTTCTTTTTTTATAAATTTAATCAATATTTTGGTATGAAAAAGAACAGACCTTAAGATGTCTTACATGATCTAGCATCTTATTGTAGGATTCCATGAGCACAATTTTGATCATTAGATATCTAACTGCATGTGTGAAGGGTAACAAGAACATGGAATAGCTATATCTATCTCTTTTTTAGAGTAAGTGACAAATCGATTGTACAGTAATGGAAGATGGAAAAGCATATCCAGTTATACCTCAACAAACATTAGCTTGAACAGAAAATATATCATTTAGTGTTTAGTGAATAGAATTAGACATTACTAGAGACAAACAAAGCATCATTAACATTTCATAAGATTATAAAAAGTATGTTCAATAAAAAGATTTTGAAAAAAAAAAAACATAACAAATATGAACTTGTGCATAAATTGCTTGTATTGTTATATACTCAGTTCCTCTACTGAATTGTTGCCATAAATACTTGCATTGAACTGATGAGAACAATATATATTCTAAGGCTTCGTTTGAAATGGCTTTCTTATTGTTTCTTAAACCAGCTTTTCATGCTTTTCGAAGCAGTAAGAAAGCCGTCCCAAACGAAGCCTAAATCAACCTATTTTTGCACAAGTCCATTTGCTGCTAGATTTATACTCATTTTTGGAATTCTTGGTTTAGAAAATTAAGGTGAATTACTAGACTTCTTCTGAATATTATCCTTTCCTTTCCGAATCCTTGGCATGAAATTATTGCCATGACTGAATACGTGTGATAACATAAAAGAATTTATAAAACAATGAAAGCAAGGCAAAACAAGAAAACAAAGAAGGCATGCCACAGCATTATGAAGTACAATAAACATTGCAAATACATATCCTTCATATGGATCAAATTATTTTAAGAAGCAGTAAGAAAGCTGTCTCAAATAAAACCTAAGGCTTCATTTAGGATGACTTTTTTATTATGTTCTATAGCAGTTTTTTAGTACTAATTTTTTTTTACTAAAAAGTTGCTTTAGAAAGCATTAAGAAAGCCGCTGCAAACAAAGCCTATGTTAGGTTTCTTAATTGTTTTAAATTTTCAAATTGAAAGATGAAAACACCAAAGCAACAAAAAAATGCAACCCTCGTCGATATTATTCCAAATGATAATTTCTCAAAATTATTTAACTAAGAAAAAAATATAAATTGTTCCCTTTTTATAATTGTAACACCACCACCAATAAAATAGATAGCAGCCTCTATATCATATCTATGAAACAAAAATAACTTTTGGGTAAAACAATAAAATGAAATATTAACTACTTAAAATTACAAATAAATAAAATAATTAATAATTACCTACTAATAAGATATTCATTATAGTCTCTATTTATTATCTTTGGAAGAAGCATTGAGAAGGAATAATATTGCTTGCAAATATTTGTATGTACTGACATTTCTCTTCGCAAAAGGATTAAGGTAAAGGCAACAAGTCAATGGCAAATAGGTGTTGACTTTTTTCCCTTGTTGCTAGTCGAATCACACTTCTTTAATAGAGGTAGGAAGTGACAAAATTTTTATAACTTGGATTTTTGCTATTTCCACCTACAAATCTTTTTCAGATATCTAATGACCCAAAAAATGCTTGTTGAGATCATGAGCTGACATTTTTCTTAATTCAGAATTTGATTCTTCACTTCTCTTCAAAATAATAACTTTTTTTTTTTAGAAGATGCACTAAGCAATATTATTAATCAAGAAAAAAATAAAGAGTTCTAAAATATAGCTAAGTGCTCAAAATAAGAATCAAATATAGTACTAAATGCAAAAATTCATCCATGAAAATTTCAATGCCTTATTCAATCAAGTCTGAAAAAATAGACATCATGCATCTTTGAAGTATTGCGGGGCATTA